TAATAATGGCAATTGTGGTTCGCTGGACCTTTCCCTCGATTCCATTGGAGCAAAGCACTTTCTGGAAATCAGAGGTCAATGATCCCTTGTTACTCGAGCGTAGGCTTTCCGAGAGCTAATAGATCAAAAGATCAGTATTCGAGGCTAGATAGCACCACGTATAAGCGATGCTTTTCTCTAGTTCCTCTCCAACTAACTTCAGGCCTAATCCACCGGTCTCTTTTTCCACATATAACCTTGCCGCGCAGTTACCTCGGAATCTGAGACCAGACTCTTCCATAACTTTGCGGATGTCAGCGTCGAAACGATTTGCTCGTTTCCTTAATGTACCTAGTTTGCCAGCCCCGAATACCACGCACGAGAAGGCATATTTTAGCTTAGGGATCACCATTTGATTGAACCTTCTGGCAAACCGTCAGGTCGCTGAACATCAACCGCCTGCTGCCAACTCGACGCGATCGTATAGTTCATTGATGCAAACTAGTCCATTTTGCTCTGCACCCAAGTACTTATAGAGCTCAGTTCTCCCGAGAACCGGGATGCTGTCCATTTGCACTGAAATGGCATGGTTTAGACTGCATGAAGCGCACTGGCGTGCATTGAGTTCCAGACCAAGCTGTCCAAAGAGGCACTGGATACCGGTTTTAGCTGCAGCCATATCTTCCCAATCAGAGTATAGATCTTCAGGTCGTCCATATATAGGATATGTCCGACCGTCAGGTCCCCATCTGAGTTCCGCCCCGAACCCGTCACAGTACGATATGGACTGACATTATTCCGAATCCAGTAAGAGATCGGCGCTATAGTGAGACAGAACAGCAGAGGACTCAAGGCATCACTTTGCATCAGATCATTTCTGATCGTCAGCGAACGATCTCGAAATCTTACCATTCTCGAACCCACAGTAGCGGACGCTTTGACGAGTCATAATTACAGAGAACAAGCGTCTGTCGTCAGGAGGAACTCCCCACTGTCGACATGCCCACAAGATTGCTCCGTGCGACATCGAGCAAAAGCCTTCGTAAGATTGACCCAGAGCATATGCAGCTCTTGTTTCTCATCGCGTCTTTTATAACAGTTTGGTCTAGTATGTGGGCGTGCGAGCATCCGCATACTCCTTTCCGTAGAGCAATCTGCTCCCAGGGGAATCGATCCCCTACAGTCCGTCGTATGTGGGCTGACAGGCTAGCCGTTAGAATTTTATAGCATGTGTTCAAACATGCTATCGGGGGACAGTCTCCGGGTCCGCTCGTCGTCTGTTTTACCTCCTTCGGTATCAAGATTACCCGGCCCTGGCAAAGCCAGTTCGGAATCATCTTCCTCGGTTTGGATTAAACCGTGCCTTGCGGCAAGAAGGTGTTTCCACCAGAAACCTAAATACCATCCGGACCAGTTGCTTTCCATAGCTCTACCTTGTGTGACTCTTGCCATGCGTCTTCAAAAAGCTCCTAGCCCGCGGAGTCGATCCAGTTTCAAGTTCTTCGGCCCATTTCTTGAGCTGAAAACCAGCACGAAATGGCCTACCTTCCCCCACAATGGGTTTCCGGTACCCTTACGAAAGTAACAGGTACTACCACTGTGTCTTTCT